GTGCGACACCCTCACCGCCATCTGTAGGCCGATTGTCTGGAGATTGTGGGAACCTCGATATCTCACAACCATATCGGTCTCCACGGCCTTTTACAGAGGCACCTTTACATTTTTCCTTTTTCCCTGTCGTCCGGAGATAGAGACTGTCTGTGTTGATTGGGCCTGAGTAGGCTTTATGCTCGAGGACAATACCGGAGTCCACTCTTCGAAACTTCGCTTTAAATTCAAATAGGAAGATGGGTGATGTCAAAAGCCAATCGTATTAATGTAAGTCGTCAAGATATACAAGGATCCGAACTTGCAACAAGGCCCCACTTCCCCATTTCAGTTGGGTACCTCAAATGGTCGCAACATGCCGAGTTCATTTCCTCCTGCATACGGCAGTCACATTTCTCGCCGCACAAGGGACAGGAGTAGGTACTGGTAATGTTTAGATTGTCGTGTTCTTGTTCATGGCACAGTGTAGTTTGGTGGTGGTTACCTGCCTCTGTCTTCACGGTAGTAACATTGATAACCACTAACCACACTATAGGGCCGCGCCATAGCTCAAGCAGTTAGTCGCTGGCTTCCCACTGCAGCGGACCGGGTTCGATCCCGGGTCTGGTTAAGTGGGTTTTGTGGTGGACAAAGTGGCGCTGGGGCAGGTTTTCTCCGAGTACTTCCGTTTCCCCTGCCAGTCTTCATTCCACCAATTGCTCCACACTCACCCTCACCTATCATCTGGGGCTGGTACAATAGGCCAGGAGTGGCCGCAGTACAAGGGACTTACTCCCACCCCACTAACAATAAAAAAAAACACACTGTACAGTTTCAAAACCCAAAAGTCCATAGTCTTAATTTTCATAGCCGTGAAAACTTCTTCTTAGCAGTTCCGTTCAACACGAAATATAATTTAAGGGAAACAAATGGTGTCATTTGTGGTCACATGCGTCGCTTATTAGAATAAATTGATCCGTGAACCACTACTTAAACATTGCTCAGACGGCTTTATGAACTTGCAGGGCGAGAGTGTGGAACTGAATTCGAATGAAGTCAGTGGCGAGAAAGGGAAATTATTAGCCTTCGGAACGACTAACATTTTCATGTGTTTCGTAATTCTTTTCAGGCGAATTTCTTAAAGTTACAATCGAATGCTTTTTTATTCGTTATTTCGCTCGATTCCGTTACTGGTTTCCATAAATCTTGGCTGGGACTTGGAAGTGCAGTACTAACCCAATTTTGTAGCCGTGTGTGTCTCTTCATGAAGGTTGAGTAACTATGTTGCGGTAAGGCAAACTTTATATCCAGCGACTTTTCATAACAGATCTGCCGCAGAGGTTCTGAAATAGACGTTTAATCTAACCACATTAATTTTATCAGCACCCAAATCGATATTTGATTGCATCATTTTGGTAGGTCTTTCTCTTGACATGTATCTAAATGCTACAGTTTGAGAGTTAAAGAATTATGTCTCCTGGAATATAACACTTTGTAATCCGTTGAAAGTCGTTTTTTTTTTAAATCTCTTAGTGGGGGGTGGAGTCCATCTGGGACCACTCGGCACGGCGGCCAGTGATTGGCCTATTGTAGCCTGTCCCGAGTGATTATGATGATGGAGAATTTGGTGGAATGAAGATTGGCAGGGGAAACCGAAGTACTCGGAGAAAACCCGCCCCAGCGCCATTTTGTCCACCACAAATCCCACTTGATCAGACCCGGGATCGAACTCGGGCCGTCGCGGTGGGAAGCCAGCGACTAACCGCTTGAGCTGTGGCGCGGCAAAAATTCTGCTTACTTTTCGGAGGAACCTATCACCTCCATATTAAGGGTTGAAGAGTGAGCCAAGCAAGAAATCATGCAGGCAGCAATGCTCTCTTCCTCCGAAACGTCCCGTTGACTTTCACCGGAGTGCATGACTTTATATCCCACCAGATTGAACTCTTCATGACCACAGTTTTGAGATCCTCAAATCCTGCAACTGTTTATTTCTCGTGTACTGTAACTGTCTGTTAATAACGCGTCAGATGGCATTCTTAGCATTCAGAAAGGTCGATTTCCGGGCGACGCCCAAATGGGACATTTAATCCAGCGCACGAAATAAGAACATCCGAAATTATTCTAAGCCAACTTCTGATGTCAAATTCGAGGATGACGTATTTTTTTTATTGTTAGTTGGGTGGGACTAAGTCTCTTGTACTGCGGACACTTCTGGCCTATTGTACCAACCCCAGATGATAGGTGAGGGTGATTGTGGAGCAATTGGTGGAAGGAAGATTGGCAGGGGAATCCGAAGTAGTCGGAGAAAACCTGTCCCAGCGTCATTTTGTCCACCACAAATCCCACTTCACCAGTCCCGGGATTGAACCCGGGCCGCCGCGGTGAGAAGCCAGCTACTAACCGCTTGAGCTATGGCGCGGCCTAGAGGATGACGTAAGTGGTATCTGCCCAGCTAGCATTTGCGGAATACAAGTTACAGACTACTAGTTTTTTTTTTTTTTAGTTTTAGTTATTGGAGAGGGTGGGTTTCCCCATGCACCGCGACCAGTTTGATCTATTGTGCTTCCCTCTATGATATTCTACCAGTCTCTATACTCTACCGATACTGGTGCTTACCATCAGTCCCGATCGAGCCAGCGAGTTCGGCCTCTACTGGCTTGGCGGTATCTATAATACTTCCCCCATCTATCAGAGGCGTTAGAGACTACTGTTGGGCGGGAAATGTCCTTGAATTTGGCTCAGTGACCTCCTTTGGAGATATGAGGTTCTTTTACGTGCCGTAAAGCTACGACACGGGACCCACGGCTTAAAGTCCCTCCCGGAGGACTTGTTCCCTGAATTTTTCCGCCCTTAAAAATTCCACGACCTCCGCCGGGTTTGAACCCGCGTACCACGAGTCATGAGGTGGGAACGTTACCTCTAGACTACGGAGGCCGCTTACAGACTACTATATAAGCTTTGAAGCTTTGACGGCGAATAAATGTGCCAAAATCTTCCCTTGTGATTAGCCGTGTCAGTGATGAACTAAAAACCGACGTTTCAGAGGTCTCCTCGGTCTCCAACATCAGGGTCTATGTGGTGAATTACCTTATTTCTCTGAGATTTATACGAGTTTATCTAATCGATGCCTCTTTCCATTGGTGTACTATGCTGCTATGCTACTGATACTCCATTAAGTGTGTTAAAAGTGAAGATATCTTTAGATCCTTTGCGTGAAAATCAGTATTATCAGTTGACAGCTGCTTGCAGAATCGCATGCATTTACCGTTAACTTGCAGCACGCAACAAACCGGAATAGACGTGAAAGAAACTGTTAATAAGGAATAATTGTGGGGGGAAAAAAAGTATTTCAAGGTTGATCCGTGAATGGTATTAAGTTTTATTTTATCTGCCACGCCTTGATTATGTTTCTTAACCTTAGACACCGACTGACCATGAAATAGCATGTATTTGGTTCAAGTACCGGCCGCATATGTAATCAGCTGCTTGTACCGCAACCTATCCTTCAGTCTCCTCAACTCCCTTAGCCTTCCCTCAGCCTAAAAGTTTCCTGTTAATTATGAAAATTGACTGTAGGGCGAGATCAAATGTCAGGTTCCCTGACGGTTGTGTCAGGCTCTGTTAGCCCTGCAACTCGTTAACGTTCACATGCATCACTCTGGAGTATTGCCTTAGAGCTGAGCACAAACACTCCGTCATGCCTCCCTACCAGTCCGCGTCATGGAAACGTATACTCAGTAGAGAACTATAGGCCTACTTTGTTTTTACATACCTACGTGGCCAGATGTTTGTGTATTGCAGCTGTACATACGGCACTCCGCAGTCATGTGATGTTTTTTGTGCTTTAAGTTCCTAAATTATTAACCGTATCAAGAAAATAACTAAATAATAATTATATATTTTAAGGAGATTGTAGCCCCTCTTTGATTATTTTTTTCCCCTTGGC